CAACTCCGTGTGAGAAGCATAACTCAAACAAACAGCTAAGAGGTCTGGCTAATTCGGCGCTGCTCTCCCAGGACCCTACTGGGAATTCCACCAGGACCAGTAGCCTTGTCTGGATTTAATTTTCTTAAAAGCCCTTGGATGTCGTTGGCTTTGAATACTACAGTATCCAGTGTTTTTGACGGGGTGAGTGTGAATATTATGCGTCGTTAAAGTGTTTTTAACTATATAGTGTCCGTTGTAGGTAATCATCGTCAATCGCACCAGCGCGTTCAGAACTTCTCCACCTTTGCACAGTCAATCTATTGTCGCTTCACCTCATTCTTTTTTGGTTCTTTGCTGATTTCCCGGTGATTTCTTTGCTGCTTTCCTGATTCTTTGCACACTAAAAGGACTTTTCAAAATCCTTGTCTATTTTGAGTATTGTTTTAGAACGTTCGATCATATAAGATCGATTGGTTCAATTGAGTTCGGAAAACGAACTTGAATCGAACTCTGACGCAAATTTCTTTGGTTCGATTGTGTTCGATTACCGAACAGTTCGAGTGGTTACGCCGGGTCTAGTCGATAACGTTTGTTTTGCGGAGCACCCGGCCCAACACGAAGGAATTAATTCATTTGCTGATATAAAGCAATTGACAATCTTGCGGTTTTCTTTTAGGATAATCTTTATACTTATACGTTATGTAGCTACTACTGCAATGAAAGCATTTCAGTGATGAAGTGTATTAAAAATTCCTTTCAAACACTGCGATTTTCAGCTGGTATCTGCTAAGCGGCAGTGTTCATGGAGACTGTTCATCCTGCTAGCCGATAGCATAGTAGCCTTTTCCAGGCATTCAGATAGTAGAGCCCGGAAGAAAAAAAAAACGAGGGAAGACTAGAGGGGGAAAGGGGGAGAGAACGGTGCCCCCCCTCCCGTTTTCCCGGTGTACAATTTAACTCGCTCCTCAGTTACCGCCGCGCTCTACTATCTGAACGCCTGGAACACGCTAATAGCATAGCTTATTTATAGTAAGCACAAGAGAAAAAAAGGGGACAGAGAAGGCATCCCCCATACACACCCTTCGTCTCGAGTTGTTTTTAGAATCGGGATAAAGTTACCTCGCGCGCTGCGTGAATGTGTCGTGGAGGTTTCGCATGACTAAAGGCCGTGCAAAACGTGTCGGGCGAAAGGCAATGAAAGCGTTAAGAGATCGAGAGCATTCCTGAATATTGAAGCGAAATGAGTCGGCGCTCACCTGGGAAAAGGGAATCGCTGGACTCTTTGACAACCCGTGAAATCAGTTTAGCTCGAAGTTGTCGTAACCTCAGTGCTTTAATAAAATGAGAAATTTCGCCGGTCTATTGAAACCGGTCGTTTGTACAATAAAGCAAGTCGGACGCCAAGTGTTATTTTTGTTGAATAATAAAACACTAATAAAAGAATAAATATCAAACCAGAAATTGCTCTCTTCAAACTGTAAATTGTAAATGACACTGAGAGAATATTCAGTGTGTTAAGGATTTCCCTGCTGTACTGCTTTAGCAGAAATCTTTCTTTAGTCGTTTTCGTCGACAAAACGAATAGCAATATCGCTCTCCGCGTCTTCCGCCATTTTTTCTGCGTCAATTCGTGAAGGACGCGTGGCTCTGAGCGTGGTTAATCCACGCGGAACACATTCGCGCTGTGTGATTGGCTGTTGTCTAATCCCCCTTGGGATCTGTTGGTCTTAAAAATAACTCGAGACGAATTACCTGTGGAGTAGGGTGTGTATGGCGGATGCCTTCTCTGTCCCCTTTATCCTCTCTTGGTGAGCATTAAGCTGGCATTCTTAGCAAAAACTCTGCCTCATTTGATGCTGTGTGCTTTGGTCACCGGTAAGGTGCTATTTGCAGATATTTCTAACTTTATATAGGGCAAACAGAGCACGGAACAGAGCGATCAGTAAAAGGTTTGTTAACTTTGCAAATTTTGTTTGCTGATAAGAGAGACTGGTTTGCCAGTGTGGGTACGTAGAAATACACGCAGGTAAAATAATAAAATGCAGCTTGTTTCAAAGCAGGGTAAGGTTGTAAATCTTTTTCTTATCGGCTGCACAATATATCTAAGGAAGAGAAGAGAATAGATATAAATTACGGGATTACATAATATGGAAGACTACCACGTCGCGAACGATGAATTTGAATTATGTAAATGTCCTTAAGTGCCTCTAATTCGGTTCCGATTGGTTTAAAAACAACCAGCTCCTGTCACAACTGACACACACGCAGTATCGTGACACAGTCCATTTAAATAAAATAAAACAAACAAACAAAACTAAACTTGGTTTCGTATGTTTGGTTTATCTTGTATTCTTGTTATGTTATTGTCCGTACCTAATCACTTTAACTGTTTTGCTAGTGATTCCTCAGCCGAATGCAGCGATGAAGGGAGCCATACAACTTACAACAGTTCAAGTGCTGCTCAATTCATCGTTAAATACAGTCGTTTTCGGTTGGAAAATGAAAGAAGTTCGACAGATCGTTAAGAATGATTTCAAAAATTTCATGTTTTGGAAAGCAGAAGATACTGTATAATCGAAAGTTTGCATTTCTTTCCGGCATTTAACTACAAAGCACATTGGGTCCCTAAGTAGGCGCTTTACCAGTTTTAAAAATCATTTTATCCCACCAGATCATGAATATCTGAGCCAAAACACCTTTTAACTTCAATCCAATTGTTGGCTGTTGGCTTACATGACACTGGCGAACACGCAGACTATTTTAGTGCATCTTACATGAACAAAAAAAAAGTTTTATTGACTGACGAGGCTCCAAGAGCGAAATATATTTCGAGGATTTCAAAACTTCTAGAACATTTTTATTTTTACGTTTTACATTTCTTATACGAGCGTCGAATGTGGTAAAGACGTGATGTCTTATTTTGCAAGTAGTTCAAGTTATTCGAACACATTCCTAGTCTCGGTATTTACAATTTCTCAAATATAAGGACAATCAAACATTCTAAAAACGCGACTGACCGAACACAAACGAACGACGAGGAATGGAGACGTCAACAATCACATTGCTGAGCACCATTTAAAGACGAAACATCAAATTGACTGGGACTCTGCGACATGTATAACGTATTCTACAGACCACTATCAACGTCTTACTTTAGAAAGCTGGTTTACTAACTTAGAACAAACGCCACTGAATAGTAACCAACAGTTACCAGCGCCGTACAAACGACTTATGTATCGGTCAAATCGAAGCTTCCACATGCTCCCCCCCGGGCATACCCCGGGCATTTGACACCTTTGTCGTCCCGGGGAGGAGAGAATTTGATCATCAAAGTCTTACAGGGGGTGGGGAATTTGATCCCCATGCTTTAGGGGTGGGGAATTTGAACTCCACCCTCGATTTCATGTAAAATCTTTGGCGTGGAGAGCTATCATGGGGGACGCGGTGTTAGAGGATTTTCGTGGAAACGATTGTTCCTTTGTGATCAACTGGTTACAAGGAAAGGGCTTAAACAAGCTTTGTACCGTATTTGAAGTATTTAAATTTTAAAATTTTTAATATTGGATTCAGGCTTTGAATGTATGGATTTTATTGTTGTGTTTACAATGAAGTACAATACCTATACCGGCGATTCAGTACAACAACATAAAATAAAATAAAACGGTCAACTACTTTGACCTACTGCAAGTATGTTAATTAATAAGGTGAGCGATGATGCATGTCAGTGAAATGGTCATGATGTAGTAATCTCAATAGGTGGGATCTTTTTTTACAGAACGCTTTGTATGTTGCATGACGAAGAAAAGCTGAGCATTCAGTGACCTTGTAGAAGCGATTTCCGCCGCTTTGCACGAGACTTTTGTTCGTAGTAAATACGCTAGCAGTGTTGCTCAGTTTTTGTTATATTTATAAAGATTTTGTTCGACAACTGAAGGCGCCGCTGTTTCCGCCGTCCTTTTGTCATTTTTGTGCCCTTGAAATGTCCCGGGGTGGGGGCATTTGATCACCTGAATGGACCCTAGTGTGGAGCATTTGAACGGCATTTTGGCCCGGGTAGGGGGGAATTTGAACAATAATTTTCAAAAAAGTCAAATGCCCGGGGGGGGGCATGTTGAAGCTTCGATTTGACCGATACATTATTGACGAGATCAAGCAAAACTAACTACGAGAGAACGACTGGAGAACTGACAATTTGACTAACAATAGACGACTGTTTAACTGTGACAATAGACGGATCGAAACGCACCAATTACTGATTACGAGTCTTNTTTGAACGGCATTTTGGCCCGGGTAGGGGGGAATTTGAACAATAATTTTCAAAAAAGTCAAATGCCCGGGGGGGGGCATGTTGAAGCTTCGATTTGACCGATACATTATTGACGAGATCAAGCAAAACTAACTACGAGAGAACGACTGGAGAACTGACAATTTGACTAACAATAGACGACTGTTTAACTGTGACAATAGACGGATCGAAACGCACCAATTACTGATTACGAGTCTTCATGGCCAATAACAATTCACGGCTTAACTGACAGACGACCAATAATATCGCGAAGTAATTGACCAATCAGATCAATAACCAGAGTATAATACCATCAACTGACGTCATACAACTCACTTTGACTCTGAAGATGACTACTGCACAGGTTGTCGAAACGTCAGTCACTGTCAACAACAACAGTCCTCTTCAGGACTACGTTCACCCGGACGATCAAACTCAACCTACTTTTGATTGTAAAAATTATACCGGTGTGGTAATTTTTCGACGATCAAAAACGACTAAAAGCCCGCTAATTAATTTTCTGTTATGTGTATACGTTAACTAACACATTTAGTAAGTTTCATTATAATTCTTGTATAAATTACATTTCAAACGTCACTCGAACACGTATAATTAATTAAAAGTCATTTATTAAATGCAGAAGATCTCCACCTGGTAAGTCAGAAGAGGCCGGCTGCTGTGGATAGAGAAGATGAATTTGTCAGCATCACTCAAACTTTGCAATGAGGTTTTGATGAAGTATTATGGAAAACCTGAGGAAGTTTACCCTCTATATATTGTAATGTATGTCCTTAATGGTTTTCTCTCGGTGACCTCGGTTTTCGGAAACGCAAGCCTAATTTTTGCGGTAAGGAAAAATTCATCTATTCCTTCGCCGACGCGAACTCTACTTCGATTCTTGGCGATAACAGACCTTACCACTGGGGTACTAGGCCATCCACTCTACATCGCCGTAATTTCAAAAATTCTGCAAAATTATAGCTGCGAGAACGTTCATGAAATTTTGCTAGCATTTTTCCTGATACAAGCTTCGTTAACTGGTTGCTCATTCATGGTGTTGACTTTCATCGGAGTGGATAGGTTTCTTGCAATTTATTTGCATCTTAGATACAATGAACTAGTCACTACAAAGCGAATAATCACCGTGGTACTTGCGTCGTGGACTTTTTCCCTGGCTACCATTTTCATATGTGTCTTCTGGTATTTTAAAGTTGGAGAAGTGGTTTTGCTTATTGTTGCTTACTGCTCCACGGTTTTGCTCAGCGTCATATACATTAAACTTTTTCTTGTCGCTCGACAACACGCAGCGAGCATAAACAGCCAGGCACAAGTGGCAATGCATCTGTCAAGTTTCACAAGCATGGCTCGAATCAAGAACTTAGCCATCAAAACCTTATACGTATATCTTGTATTTTTGTTGTGTTATTGTCCGTATCTAATCACTTTAACTGTTTTGCTAGTCATTCCTCGGTCGAATTCAGCGCTTAAGGGAGCCATACAACTTACAACAGTTCAAATGCTGCTCAATTCATCGTTAAATCCAGTCGTTTTCGGTTGGAAAATGAAAGAAGTTCGACAGATCGTTAAGAATGATTTCAAAAATTTCATGTTTTGGAAAGCAGAAGATACTGTATAATCGAAAGTTTGCATTTCTTTCCGGCATTTAACTAGTAAGCACATTGGTTCGCTAAGTACGCGCTTCACAAGTTTTAAAAAATCAACGAGCTTACATACACTTTCAATAAAATGTATATCTCAGTGAAAATTTTTCAGTCACAAAAGTTTTACAGTGACCTATTTGCTTGCCAAAGCAGGTTTTTTTAACTTAAAATGAAAGTTTTTTTATCTCGTAATTACTCAAAGTAATCGTGTGTTTTTAAACAGTAGAGAAAAATTTAAGGTAACTAACTGACATTGAAGTCACGAGCACGTTAGAGCAAAAGAACATATATATCTTTGTTTCAGTGCTCAACAAACTTAAAAGTAGCAGTAATTTATGCTTGCCAAAAGTATTTTAAATAGCTGTCAATTAAAGCTCACTCATTTATATTCGTTTACAACCTTAATCGTTTTTAAAGGTAATGTGTCTTTCTTACTTAAAAGTTTTCATGTTATTGTTCCGTAAAAGAAAATCCTGATAATGTCCATAACAGTTAGAAACACAGAAAAAAAAAACAGTTAGACTGAGCTAACTCGGGAGGGTGTTCCGCCGTTAACATTCAGCTGGCTTAAGGATTTTCACTTCCTGCTTTTTGTAGCATTTAAAGCACAGATAGTTGAATGGAAGAAAAGAAACTGAAGGAGACTAGATAGTGATGTTCGCTGGCTAACCTAACTATCATTGCATTATGCCGTTTTGTGTAGTTTTGGGTCCGTCTTAATTGACCGTTGCAAGAAGGTTTAGTTAGGTTGTTGGCGGTATAGAGCTTTATGCGCCGGTCGTGAATCGAGTTCACGATCGGATCGGATCGATCAGTTCGGATGTTTTAAACCCTCGATATCGAGCTGGTAACTTGACTCTCTGACAGCTCTTTTTGTCACCAAATTAAAAACGAAAACAAAACATTTCCAACACCTCATCTTAGGGAAAGTTCATTTAATATGACAAGGGGGGGGGGGGGGGAAGA